AGCCCCTGACTGTGATGGTGATGGCGATGGCGGCAGAGAGATGGCAACACTTGCTAGTGGTTGTCTTTTGGGGTTTGAATTTCTCCAAGACTAAAATGTTGAGGTCTTGAGCTTGTTGGCCCTTCGCATATCTTCTTTTGACAAATGTCTGTTTAGATTCACACACACACACACACACACACACACACACACACATTACTTACATACACAGCTCATTCTGGTAACTCCCACTCCCTTTCTGTCCCCACCCCTCAAGATCCGATGTCTTTTAAGCACCCACAAGAATGCCACAGGGACACGTCTGACCATCCACCCATCCCAGCAGGGCTGATGACCTGCATTCTGGGTTAGATCTGATGTTTCTCAGAGGCTCTTGTGTGGGAAGCTTTGTCTCCAGGGAAAAATTCTCAGAAGTGGGGTTTTGGAAGCTGACTTGGTCGTAAACACTCTCACTTGGTCAGTGGATTGAGGTTCATAATTTGATGAAATGATTGGGAGGTGATAGAAACTTAAAGGGGAACTAGCTGAAGGCAGAGGGTCATGGAGTGACCACAGGGACTGTATCTTCTCTCTGGCCTCCCCCTCATGGCTTTCTGGTAGCCACGGAGTAAACAGCATCCTCCACACTCTCCCTGCCTCACTCCAAGCCCACAGCAATAGCAGCTGTGATCCATGGACTGAAACCCTCAAATCCATGAGCCAAAACACAGCTTTCCTTCTTTAAGTTGTGTGAGTCACGTTTTCCATCTCAGTGATAGAAAGCTGACTTGTGTGGGGCTCCTCTTCAGACTACCTTCAGACCTTGAATGACGTCTTCAGAGTCCTCAGGGGCAGGGAGCAGTAGTGGGTTTGGACAGGAGGCAGTGAGGCTAAGGGAGGAATGGCTGAGGTCAGCTGAACATTCTGTCCAGAAGGTGAGTGAGAAAGAGGGCCAAGAGGCTCTCCCCACTTTACGGTCCGCACATAGCAGTGACAGATAAAACAGGAGCAGCAACAGCACTGGGAAGCAACTGGTGTCAGACACAAGCACCCAGCACAGTGGGCTGGGGTGAGCAGGGACCCACACCCCAGGGCAGGAGTCTGAGGTGCCCTTATACAGCCTTGAGGAGGCAACTGCAAAATCTCTAGCCAGGGATGACTGAGCAGAGCAGGGAAGAGAAAGGGGAAGGGGACCTTGCATCTAAAAAGTGCTGTCTTTCTTTAGCTTATTATGCTTTCTAGTTGAAATCCTTTTTATTATTTTAAAATTGTCACTCCAGTTTTTGTTATATTTTGTTATATTTCACAGTGTTTTTGTCCACTTGGGAAGCTGTAACAAAATATCACAAACTGGGTGGCTTACAAACAAAAGGAATTTATTTCTCACAGTTCTGGAGACTGGGAAGTCTAAGGTCATGATTTGGTGTCTACAAGACCCAGTTCCGGATTCATAGATCACTCTGTCTTCAACCTCCATGGCCAAAAGGTGCAGGAGCTCTCTGGGATCCCTCTCAGGAGGGCGCTAATCCCATGTGTGAAGGCCCCACCCTCAGGACCAAGTCACCTCCCAAAGGCCCCACCCCTAATAACAAATTGGGGTTTAGGGAATCCATGGTACCTCCTAATACCAGTGGCCCACCGCCCCTACAGCAACCTCATGCCTACCAGCCTGGTATCCAGGGAGACCTATGTCTAGAGGCCCTTTCTGTAGGCCTCGCCTCATTTCTGAAGGGCCCCGTGTGCCTGCCACTCTCCAGGCCAGGGCCTGGCACTGCTGGGTTCACTGTGCCCAAGACCCCACCGCATCTGCAGCACTGACCTGCTTCCCTTTGAGCTCAAGGCACCGGGATGACTTCAATGCCTGCTCAAATCTCCAGCCCGAGGACCACCCTCTTCAGCCTCTGCTAGTCCTCAGGTTCCCTCTTCTGGCATGGCCTATGCAGCTCATTCCAGAAAGTTCCAGGGAGTTGAGAGCCATAGACAAAATCACGGTATCAGAGCCCTTGTCTTCCAAAGATCATCCAGAGCTTTAATTAAATACAAATGGTTCCAAGTCCAAATAATGTAAGAACAAAACCCCAAATCCAACACCCCTTTGGTTCCTGCTGGTTTTTCAGCCCGGACCTGAGACTGTTTCCCTGCTGACGCACACACGCTGGGATGAAGGGACACTGTGCCCTGGATTTCAGTCAGCTGAGGCAGCAGGACAGGAAGTTTGCTGTGGTGCCAGTTTCCTATGGTCTTCCAAGGCCGCCTGCCTGCCTGGCCTGTGAGGGCCCAGCCCAGGCAAGGCAGCCCCCTTCTGACTCCTGACACACCCCAGCTTGGAAGTCGGCACAGGGATGCTGTTTCTTCCCCTGGACCTGTGGGCCGGGGAGGCTGGTGCGCTTTGCTTGGGCTGGTGGCAAAGAAAGGGTTGGGAACCTGCAGGGGCCAAGCTGGGAGATGGCGCAGCTCACACGTGGGCCGGTTCCGTCTGGCTGAGGCCTCTTCCACCAACCCACGTGTTGGGGACCACGGTCAGCAGAACCCACTTGGGCATAATGGATTCACAGTAAGATCAAGAGAAACACCAGTCACTGAAGCCTATGAGATGCAGGGCCCTTCTGCCCATGACCCAGCTTCAGCAGATGCACACAACCTCCAGGACCCACCACCTTTGTGGGTGCCGTGGGCGCTCCCCGGCTTGCCATTTCCCCAAGGGCTGGGAGTGGTTTCCCACAGCAGAAGCAGGTGGGACGAAGAAGCCAGAACAAGTTCTTAGGCAAATTCCAAGTCCTGCCAACTCTACCCCCATAGGGCCCTTAAACACAGCCTCCATTACACTGTGAAGACACTGGCACCCGGGCACCTCCTGTGGCCAGGCCCAGTGTCAGCTCCAGCCACATGGAGAACCCAGTCAGCTGAGCAGAACCTTCCCACGGTTGCCGCCGGAAGGAATGTGAAAGGGAAGGGTGCAGCTTTGTGTCTTGCAAGGCCTGTGGAGTGGACAGCAGCAGCAGCTCCCCACCCTGGCTCTGGGCCCAGGATGGACCCCCAAGGCAAGGGCAGCACTGACTGACAGCACAGGCTACTAATGAGCCTATCTCGCTCCTGGACGCCGCCTGCATTCATTGGTCCTCAGTCTCTGCTTCTGCACTGGAGGAGCCCAGCCAGTGTCTCGGGAGGCCTGTGGCGGTGTCGCGACTGTTCTGGGAGGGCAGTGTGAACAGAGCTACTTCCTCAGGGCGCAGGACACATAGCCCCAGCTCTGCCCCCCATCCTGCTCGCCCTTCGGGCCTGACCTGTCATAAACTTCAGTCTCTGCCTGGCAGTGATCGTGATGACTCGAGTGTGACAAAACCCAGCATGCTCTCTCAGGCGACCTTCTCACCTGCTTGCCAACCAGGCAGTGGAGGCCCAGCCCCTTTTCACACCAACCTGCACTGCCAGGAAGGGGAGGCTCGCAGGAGCGGGTGTGGATGGCATGTGAAGACCACCAGGCATCTGCAATGTGGGAAGCACACTTGAGAGCTAAAAGCACAACCACGGGCGTGGCTGGCTTGCAAGGAAGGCGCTGAGGGAGAAAAGGGGGCATTTCCAGAAAGCCCAGATGGATGGGTGAGAGGTACAGGGTGCCCAGATCGCCTGGGTGCCACCTGGAGGACACTGGCCAGTTAGTTCAGCAATGCTTTTTAACAAGTGTCTAGTGAGATGATAGTATTCTGCCCTGGGGATACAAATGCAAACAAAGCAGGCAGTCCCTGACTTTATAAATGGAAACCAAACAGGCCAACCTAAAAACAGCAGAGTGAAAAGGGGCCGTGCAGGAAGAAGGTAGTGTTCAGGGAGCCCAAAGGAGGGAAGCCGAGTGTAGCTAGAGGACGCTCCCCCTCCCGATCCCTAAGGGCAGATGTGGGTCAGACGCCTGGGGGAGAGGGGGGCCCAAGGCTCAGTGAGCTGTAGTGCCCCAGGACAGAGCCGCACTGCAGAGGGCTTCCGAGCCCCTCTCCACAGGGCTACCCAGGACCAGACCACATACTAAGCAGCCATGTTGTCACAGCTGCCGCACAGGGCAGGACACAGAGCAGGAGCTCAGTGGATGATGACAGCCACAGCGGAGGGGTGGGGAGCTGCTGGGAGTGTCATGGCTCTCCATGCCTCCTCAAAGCAAAATGCCTATTATCTGTATGTCAAAGATTAGACTTGTTGCTAGTTACACTAACAAACTTGCTAACAGAGCGGTGAACACATGTGTGCACACACATGATTAGCCTGTGCAGGAAAGAGCAACAGAAAGAGTGGGCAGGAAGGGTGCGGAAGGGAAATCGCCGGAGCTCCCTGCCCAGGGCATAGTCTCTTCCCTGTGCTGAGCAGGAGGGAATAAAGGCTGCGCAGGAACCCACCGAGTTAGGGTTTGTGGTCCCATGTGCACATGCAGAGCAGCGGACAGACTGGAGTGAGGGCCCCATCTGCTGCTCTTGCCCTCAGGGCCTCCAGGGAGGTGTGCAGAGCCAACAGCCTCCAAGATGAGCTGGAGGCTTCCTGCCCAGGATCCTGAACCCAGGTGGGCCTCACAGGACGCAGCAACTCCCTCCCTGTGAGTCCACGTGCGCCACCGCCAGGACACATCGAGGCGAGAGGAGCTGGCGCAGAGGTCCATGACCTCGGACCCAGAGTCTCTCCTCTTCTGCCAGCACCCAGGAAATCGGGGCAGTAAGCATTGTGTGCAAGGAAGGTAAAGCAGCAGGCCCTCCGTGTTCCTGCCACACCCTTCCGAGACAGGATGCACTCTCACAGCTCAGCACTCTGGCTCATTCCTAACGAGCGCACTTGAAAAGCATGATTAAGACACTGGCTAGATAGAACATGGTAACTGTTTCTGGATGACAATCCTAAAAGCCCCCTTTAGTTTCGCAACAGGCACTTTCAAAATGGGCAGTAACCCTAAGATACAACACTGAAGGGGACTACAAAAATCTAAAAAGGAAACAAAAAGTAATGAAACTGAACCTGGGCAAGAAGCCATTTTTCCAAAACATAAAGAATCGTTTTTAATTCAGTATTTTGCACAATTAGCGGAAGACACCATCTGAAGTAAACATGGACGATTAATACAGTGCATGATGTTTGTACTTAAATGGTCTCTAAGCCAAGACCCGTTTCTCGGTGTGGAAGTGACTCTCCAAGGAGCAGAAGTGGCCTCTGAGCTTCCCGAACCACTTGTCCTCAAACCCTTCCACAGAGGCAGTGACCAAGCCAGCCAGGCCCACAACACCAGTGCCCTTCACCGCTGCGTGAACTCCCTCTTTCATTTTTTCTGGAACGATATCTTCTCCCATAACCTGTAGCAGGAGGAAAAAAAACTGTCCCAGTAAAATAGGCAGCAGAGCCAAGCATAATGGTGCACACCTGTAATCCCAACACCAGGGAAGCTGAGGCAGGAGGGCTGCAAGTTCGAGGCCCAGCATGGGCAACTTAGTAAGACCCTCTCTGAAAGTAAAACTTTTTAAAAGGCTAGAGATATAGCTTAGGAGTAGAGCACCTGTGAAGCCTTGAGTTCAATCTCCAGTATCACATACACAAACAGTTGTTATCCAAGGGTCACATATGCAAACTGCCCAGTGTTTCTTCTCCTGCTCCCAAGTGAAAGAAAACAAAAAGTGAAATGAACAGACTCCTCTCAGAAATACAGATGGCCAACAGATGCATGAAAAGATATTCAGCATCACTGGCCATTAGAGAAATACAAATTTAAACAACACTGAGATTCTATCTTACCCCAGAAAGCATGGCCATCCATCAAAAAAGTCAAATAATAAATGCTGGCCCGGTCCCAGGGGAAAAGGATCCCTACTACATTGTTGGTGGCATAAGCACTATGGAAATCAGTGTGGAGATTCCTCTAACAACTAAAACCAGGAATTCCATTCAATACAGCTATTTTCCTTCTGGGTATCTTCCCAAAAGAGTTAAAGACATCATATTACAGTGATCCATGCATACTCATGTGTATAACAGCACAATTCACAATAGCCTAATCTTGGAAAGAGGCTTCTATGTCCATTGATATATGGATAAAGAAAACGTGGTCTAGCTGGGGATTTGGCTCAGTGGTTCCACACCCTGCCTCCCAAGTGCAAGGGCCCGAGTTCAATCCTCGGTACCAGAGAAACAAAAACGTCAAAAAAAAAAAAAGAAAACATGGTGTTTATACAAGGGAGTACTACTCTGCCATAAAGAAGGATAAACTTGAGTCATCAGTAGGAAAATGTTAAGACCATAATGTTACATGAAATAAATCAAGACACACAAGCTTACATATAGCATGGTTCCTCTAATATGAGAAACACAAATATAAATAAACAGCAAAACAAAGGATAGATATTAGGAGTAGATAGATAGATCCTTTTCAAATAAGGGGATGGAGAGGGGAAGGAAGTGCTTGGGAAGGGGAAGAAAAAAGAATTAAGACGTGTTGTGCACCTGGTACCAGCTCCCCACAGGAAGTGTACATGGTACGTACTAGAAACACAGACAAGATACACGAGCCACACTGCCATGGGGATGAAAACGGTACAGCCACGTGGGAAAGAGTCGGGTCACTCCTCAAGATGTTATCACCCCGACGCCACAGGACGCTCCGCGCTCCCAGAGAAAGGCGCCTGCAGGAACACACCAACGTCTGCAGCACAATGGTGGAAACAACCCCAGGCTATCAGCTGACGAGTGGACACATACAGTGTGGCCCACTGGCAGGAGCGCTAGTCAGTACCAAAAGGGCGAAGTACCGTGTGCGTCACACAGACACCTGGCAAATGTGATGTCAGTGGGTGTCACGCCTGGCCACCTCCTGTATGGTCCCAGTTACATGAAATGTCCACACCAGTGAATTCACAGAGGAAGGAGGTAGTGGTTAGCAGGACTAAGAAGCGGGAGGCACAGAAGGGAGGACCAACTGGTAGACGGTGATGAAAATGTTCAAAACCAAGATTCAAGAGTTAGTCATGGCTACACAGCTATAAAGAGATTAAAAAGACTAGCTCGTACACTTTCTATAAATACTGATTTATTTAAAAAACAAGCAGAATCCCAGAGGTCTTCAGCACCATCCAGCCTCCAGGGCACTGAGTTGGCCTTTTGTACCCAACACTGTGACTGCAGCCCAGGGAGGGGCATAGATCCTATTTCCTACAAGTTTCCCAAAGAACTCAAGAGCAAACAATCAAACAGCAAATATGGTAGCTGCGCATATCCTTTCCTGACCCACCAAGACTCCAGTCCCTCCAAAGCCAAAGCAATCTGGGGACCTCAGTGGCATGTTTACCCAATGAGGGCACAGTAGCCTCCCTACTGGGCAGAACCAGGCCCCAGGCAAGGCTGGTTCCAGAAAGCTTGTACCTGAACCCACTAAGCGATCAGTCCACCTCTGGTAACAACAGCAAACTAAGCTCCCACTTCAGTTCCCGCATCGCATACCATTTGGTATGGTCATACAGCCTTCTTGCAGGGAGGTGATAGAATCTGTTAGTCACACAAGTCTGCACAGCTTTCTAGGTACCTGTAAACCTGAAGAAGCACAAAAAGAAAAAAAGTTTCTGCTGAATTCGAATCTTTACAGATCACTTTTTTTCAGGAAAATGCCAATGAGATGTAGAGAATTTACTAACTAAATCACGGACACTTGCTTTTGCATCTCAATGCCTCTAAAATCAAGGGGCAAGTCACAGCGTAAAAAGCATCGCACCTTTCTTTCAGTGGCACATCAAATGATGTCTTAGAACTGACGACTTCTTCGATTCAATGAAACACAGTACTTCAAAATGCTGGGGAAGCTGGGGATTTAGCTAAGTGGTTCTGTCGCCTGCCTCACAAGCACAAGGTCCCAAGTTCGATCCCCGGTACCAAAAATAATAATAATAATAATAATAAAAATAATAAAGAATTTGAGCTCAGTGGGTCCACCGCCTGCCTCACAAGCACAAGGTCCAGAGTTCAATCCCAGGTACCAAAAAATAAATGAAGAATTGAGTAACAGTAATAGCCAAACAAAGCAATTCCCAAAAGAGGAATAAACAAGTATATTTGTAGATGTCAAAAAATCTGCCAAAACATTTGGTCATATAAAAATTAAAATTTCCATGTTAAAAAAAAATACTTGGGAAAATACTGCAATATTAAAAGGAAAGTAAGTCTATTATGGAGAAGGCTTCTAAAATTACTAAGAAAAACAGAAATGAATAAAGAAAAAAAACCATAATTAGCCATTTTGCAAAATACAAATGGCCGAAAACATGAAAGTTATTCAGCTTAACAGTTACCACAGAAATACTAAAAATATAATCTTTTTATCTACAAAATTGCAAATTTATACAAGAAATAAGTTGAATTATATAAAATCGCTGTTTTATAGATTAAAACAACTGAATACACACAATTTCAAATTGCTTATCTAAGACTGGGTAAGAAAACCAGTGCGCTCTCTCATACAGAGCCGGAGGGTATAAAAAGTGAACCAACTCTCTCAATGAAAATTTAAGAGTTTTTAAAATGTTCATATATTTTTGTTTTGTTTTTCTTTTTTTTTTTTTTTTTTTTTTTTTGGCTTTTTGAGACAGAGTCTCACTATGTAGTTGAGACTAATCTTGAACTCACTATGTAGCCCGGGCTGGTCTCTAACTCAGAGCGATCCTCCTGCCTCAGCCCCCCAAGTGCTGGGATTACAGGCATGTACCATCACGCTTGGCCTTTTTTTGTTTATTTTTGTTTTCTTTTTTAAATGTTCATGTATTTTTAATTCAATGATTTTACTTCCAGTCATCTAAAAGATATGAACATATACACTGATAATTTTGCAAAGACTTAATAGGTGCTAAACATTTATGAAGGATTCAACATGGGGAATAAGCCAATAAATTACAGTTAATCTAAAAAACCGGACTACCACCCAACCAGTAAAAATTACGTACTCAAATAGCATTTAAGGGTATAGAGTCATGCCCATGTCACGGTATAAAATAAATATCATAAGACTATAAAATGAAATGTGTGGTGCAACAGTTCCTAAGCAGCAATTTCACTCCTAGTTACATACTGAAAAAATTAAAGAGACTCCAACATACATGAGTGCTATCCTTCAAAGGAGCATTATTTACAATATCCAAACAGTGGAAACAACCTGTGTCATCAAAAGATGAATTAACAAAAGGTGGCTATACACATACAGCATGTGGATATTATTCTGCTACAAAAAAGGAATGAAGTTTTGAGATATGTTACCATATGGACAAATCTTGAAAATAATGTATTAAATAAAATAATAAAATAAGCCAGGAACAGGGCTGGGGATTTAGCTCAGTGCCTGCCTTATAGGCGCAAGGCCCTGAGTTCAATCCCTAGTACCAAAAATAAATAAAAAAAATGCATACATACATGCTTAAAATAAGCCAGACATAAAAGGTCAAATACTGAATGCTTCCTT